CAAATTAAATTTCAATGAGAAAGGGAAACATAAAAAAGGTGGGCAAGTGGCCAGTAGGTGTCGCTCTGCTGTACAGTAGGTTACAAGTCTGTCACTGTATAATGGATAGTATTAAATTTGAATTCAATGATATAATATCATTGTATAAGAAAAACGATTCTGAGCGGAGATGGTATGTCAGTCTAGGTATAAGACATAATATTGTATACATATCTATGGTATTAGAAAAAAAATTGACCTATAATAGGTAGTAGGTACCTATAATAAATTCCAAATTAATCATATCACAATATCCATTAGGTGCTGATAACGCGTTATACATCAACAACATACCGTGATACTATCATAGATATATAATAGCACACTTTAGAAGTTTCAAGTACTCACGAATAACATTATTCAATCACAACAAAATAACTAAAATAGTTATTCTAGGTTTTTTAATATGTAATTTCGTCCAAATTTGAATTTAAAATTTCTGTAAAAAATAACTGTGTTCATATATTTTTTAGATTTTTTGGGTACAGTATGAACTATTTATGAGAACCTTTGTTTTAAATTTGCAATCCTTAGCTATAAAAACTGAACATTTTATAATTTATTAATTACAATGATTTATAATTTTCGAGATTTTGATACATTTTGTCAAAATTCGATCTTTAAATGCTTATAAAAAAAAACTGTGCCTATGTATTTTTAATATTTTTCAACTGATATTGTAACAATATATCAGGAGACTTGTATTAATTTTTTACACTTTTTGGCCCAATAGATAAAATTTTATTGATATTTATAGAAAAAAAACTAAAAAAAATTGAAAGATGTAAATGTCCATAAACAGCTCAAAAAGAGTAAAAATATTTTCAAAATTGTATGGTGTATAGGAAATGCTAATATAAATATTCAGTGAAATTTTCATGTATCTAAAGTTATTCGTTTTTGAATTACAACAAAATAAGGAAATCGCTACATGAGAAATCGAGTGAATATTCAATGTTGTAAAAATTTGAATTTCAAACGCTCTTAAAAATTTAATTTGACTTTCTTATATACATTTTTTTTTTGATAAGGGTAGATAATCTTATAAGGAATCTTATATTACATTTTCAAATCTTAGATTTAAAAAGAAAAATTTTTACGAATTTCTAACACAAAATAATTTGCTAATTTTAGTGATTTTTCGATATTTTGTCAATTTTTGAACTTTAAATGCTTATAAAAAAAAACTGTGACTAAGGATTTTTAATATTTTTCATCTGCCTTTGAAAAAATATACTAGGAGCCTTGTATTAAATTTTCAAGCTTTTTTAACCAACAAATAAAATTTTATTGATATTTCTAGAAAAAAAACAAAAAAAATGGAAAATGAAAATGTCCCTAAACAGTTCAAAATAAATCAAAATATTTTGAAAATGTTATCGTATATAGAAAATGCAAATATAAACAACCAGTGAAAATTTCATGTACCTAAGGTCATTTTTTTTAAAGTTACACCAAAAACTAAATTCAATTTTGTGAAAAATCGATTTTGCGTAAAAATTCCCGTTTTTCCTTAATTTTTATGTTGTTTTTCCCGGTGCTTTTGAAAATTACTGAGCATTTTAAATTTTGACCTCCCAATGCACCAACGATATTCACTTTCCAATCGAACAAGATACTGAAGTTGAAAATCGAAGCATTATTTCTACTACTTATCGTGTACACAGACACAAAAAAAAAAAGAAAAAAAGAAAACTATAAATTATATTATACTTGTTGAACTAATATTAATTTTTTTCATGGTTAAATAATAGGAAATTGTTGCTCGTTACCCTTTTATATGATTATAATTTCTTTTTTAAATATAAATGTGGTGATAAATAATATAGGTCACATACTAAATCTATTTATTGATTTTATCCATTTGATAAACTGTAATTCATTGGATTGTGTAATACTTATAATATAGTAGTTTGTATAGTAGGTAATTTTAAACTAACAGTTACTTATAGAAATAATTTTTTAATAAATTTATGTTACAATTTGTTATAATTATATTTTACAACTATACATTTTAAATTATTTATTTTTCTCAGTCAATGTACCCGATCTCTAAAAATTACAGAATGATAAATAAAGATTTTAGTGTACCTATTATTATTATCATTACGAGTAGATTACCTATAATTATTATATTACTTTATTAGGTATACGTTAGGTAATAGGTATACCTACTACAAACATATTATTAATTTAAATAAATATTTGTAATTACTTATCATATTTTAATATAACATTAACAGTTGAACTTAAAAAATAATACACGGTAAATTAATATTAATTTAATTGCGCTGTTTTTATTTTATTTACCATTTATTAGATTTTACTATAAGTATTATATTTAAATAAGTAATAATTCAATAACTTCAAATCAAGCTATGTTATAATACAGTTTCTACGGTCTACATGTTGGGACATAAATTTAAGTAAACAGTATCTTAATTTATAATATGTAGTTCGTAGGTACGCGAGGGTATTGAAAATATTACGGCGGCATTTGCGTATAATGAATTATATAATGATACGAATGGTACTGGACGAACGTTCATAGACAAATAAACGGCGCTCCCGAAGTCCCGAACGAGCACTCGTCGCCGCCGTCGGCCGGTTGCGAATAGTAGGCGTGACTTAAACGCCGCGCGCTTGCGGATCGTGAAAACACCTAACAGCGCATCCTCTCGGTCGTTGCATGCGTACAGCTTTGGGTGACACGTCCTCAAGTTCTTACCTTTAATAGGATCAGCGCCGGGATATACTTACTATGTGTCAATGAGGTTTTATTAAACTGAATAGTGCCAAGGTATATGTAATCTTTGAGTCATTTTACTAGATTGGAAAGAACTTAGGATTGACAAACGCACACCATCGTACCTCCAAGTTAACAGTGCCATTCTAATTAATTTTAGAGAGTGTCATTAGCTAGAGAATACGAGGGTGAGGCGTATAGTAGGTTTACCACGTATTATCCAATACGGGTGATACGACAGTATTTTGTTTCTATGTTAGGAAGAACCTAGACAATCTTTTTAGCTAACACAAAAGGTGTGTACAAGTACAATACACTTAGCCCAGTAAGAAATGTTCACTCTGAGGTAGGTATAGGTACCTACTAAAGTAAAAAATAAAAATAACTGTGTAGAGATCACATTCTACATTAATTTATTGAATTATAATAACATAATAATATTGTTTAATATTAGTTAGGTACCTTTTCCTACTAAATAGTTATTTTAATTTGTTTAAATTAAATAATATAAAATTATATTTAAATTAATATTATATTATATTATTAAATTAAATTATTTGATAAATGATAAAAAAAAAGCGGGCAATTTGAAATGGGCCAATGAGAACTTTGTAATGGGATTACGTAATATCATGTATTTGCTCATAAAAACAACCAGGAATGCGACCACACCCAAAAGTGTTTTCGACTAGGAATACCACTTTCATAGTCGTGAGGTCCATATCAAGGACGACTGTACACTCGCCGCTCACTTCAAAGGACGCCGCCACCATATATATAGGGGACAGCGAGACAGCCTGAGTTAGATGTACCAGGGCCGCCAAGACCGAGCGGGCCGCTTAGCCACCAGCCATTACACACAACTTACACGGAGATTATCGACTACTACAACGAGTCAACTCACGACGCTGCAATTCACCACGACTATATTAATTATTATTGATTTTAATAAAATTACAATTGATTTATATTTAAATTGACTACATTTTATTGTAAAAGTGCAACAAGCTTTTGGATCCCTGAAGGGCCGCATGTAACAACTTGGTATACATAAGGCGCTCTGTGGCGTCCTGGGTTTAATAATACGCGAGCGGTGTCGATCAACTCAAAATCTGTATAATACAAAAATATACCGGTCTGCGTTGTCGCAGCGGTCGGCCCGGATCGACCGGTCGATGTATGCCGACAGCGCACAGTGGGGCAAAAACAACAATTTATCTACATTAACTAAAAAAAAAAAAATATGCAGTGGTAATTTATAATTGCCTATTAACGTACCTATGTACCTGTAGTATTTCATAACAAGTCATTAGATTAGATTATTTGATCCCACTCCACACCAAGCAATAATAAGTAATGGTCATGCTACTAGCCGAGTAAACGCGTGATTTATTCAAAATAATCATTTCTTTCTTGTTTATGTATTTTATTGTTTTATGATTTTAATTCTTCCAAATTAATCATGGAACCATGTGGCTCAGGTATGTTTCTTATTTTTAAATTGATTTATTTTAACAGGTTTACAAGATTTGATGGTTTTAAAAAATTTTTATGTTTACACATAAAAAGAATAAGAATATTTTAAAATTTCAATGAAAAGTTGGATGTTTAATTATGTTCCGTGATTGATCCGGCTATCATTTATACATGATTAGAATCAGTAGGTATTGTGGTTAACGATGAATTTTTCAAATTTTGCCCGTTTTTGCCCTAAACTTTTTAAATCGTGCCATTGGTTTTAGTTTTCAATGATAAATTAAATAATTTATTTGGTATAAGAGTGATATATTTAAGGTTTTCTATAATTTCGTGGTAAAAAGAAGTTTTTAAATAACTTTGAATATTTTATGTTATAATAGTTAATTCACCCCTAGATCTTCAAGGTTCTGAGTGCGATCGATTAGTCCGGAGAGCTCGTGTGGTGTAGGGCCAGAGATCGAATCCCGTCTGGGGGAAAATATTTTTTGCACTTTTTTCTTTGAACCCAATATTTTAAATATTTTATTTTTATATGTAAATTGTTTTTCATTTTGTTTTCATAATGATACTTTCATAGTTTTTGGGCATTATATTAAATTAATAACTAATTACTCGTTAATTTATTTTTTTATGCAATAAATTTACGGTATTGAACTATATTTTATATTTTATACTTTATAATTTATTGTTATGAAATATTTCTTGGTATGTAGGTACAAGTTCTAATAACTTCAATATGTCAAGAGAAAAATTTCTTGAAATAATGAAAAACTCAGGACACCAAAAATTACAATACCAAATACAAACCCTGCAAAAAGAAATTGAAAAACGGACAGGATATGGTACCGACTCTCAAAAACTTCAGATTTCGAGAATGATAAGTCGTTTTCAATCTGAATACAAAACAAGATGGGAAAAAGCCCACAGAATGGAAGAAAGATTTATTAAGGATAATACAAATTGGTTGAAGTCAAAAGTTTGTTTACCTTCTGTTACACAACAACTTGGAGGTAGACCAAAAATATCATTTGAGGAAAGCACAGAAAGGATGAAACGACCAAAAACTAAAGACTTGAGAAAATCTACCTCTTTACCACAGTTAGTTTTTGCCACACAAATGAAACTGAGAGTTTCAGGACAGACAGACACCTCTAAATTAGTTGGAGAAATTGTATCTGATCCATCAAGTGCTCAAAAGTATATAAATTCCTATAAGCAGTCAATTGAAACCAAATCTATGTCAGGAGATGACGCTGTTGCACTCATAGTAGATGCGCAATTATCACGACATCAATATAACATTATACGATCAAAAGCTCCAAAAATATATCCATCTTATAAAATCGTACAGGAAGCAAAAAAACAATGTTATCCTCAGCCTAATAAAATTTATATTACAGAAACATCGGTGCATGTCGATTTGCAAACCATTCTTGACCTTACTATAGATCGTTTGATTATCACTCTCAAGGATGTAATCCACACTCTTAGTTCTAATGAATTAAAAAAATTGTGTTTAATTTCTAAATGGGGTTTTGATGGCAGTAGTGGTCACAGCTCTTATAAACAAGCTTTTTATGGTATTGAAGCTGATGATTCAGCGGTTTTTATCACATGTATCGTACCACTTCGCTTGCAATCAGGTTCAAAAGTTGTTTGGCAAAATCCTAGACCCGGTTCAACGAGGTATTGTAGACCTTTAAAAATTGCATTTATGAAGGAAAATACCAGAGTTTCCATTGACGAAAAAAAAAGGATGGATGAGCAAATATTAAATTTAGAAAAGAGTAGTATACTTTTAGATGAAAATACTCTCGTTATAAAGCATAACCTTACATTTACAATGATAGATGGCAAAGTCTGCAACGCAGTTACAGGCTCTACTAGTACCCAAAAATGCTACATTTGTAATGCAACTTGCAAAGATTTCAATTTGATTGATGAAATGATTATAAGACCAATTAAGATGGAAAATTTGGAATTTGGTATTTCAATCTTACATGGATGGATTCGCTTTTTTGAGTGTCTGCTTCATTTAGCGTACAAGCTACCATTTAAGAAATGGCAAGCTCGTGGTTCGGACAAAGAGATTGTCGCAGAAACTAAAAAAAAAATTCAAATAGAATTTAAAACAAAACTAGGTTTAATTGTTGATAAACCAAAACCTGGCTTCGGCAATACCAACGATGGAAATACCGCCAGGCGTTTTTTCAAAAATGCAGAGGTATCGGCAGAAATTACAAATCTAGATTTAGATTTGATCAAAAAAATGCATACCATACTGATAGTTGTATCATGTGGACATGATATTGATATTGAAAAATTCCGAAAATATGCGCTAGAAACAGCTTATTATTTTGTGGAAAAGTACCCATGGTACAACATGCCACCCACGTTGCATAAATATTTAATACATGGACCCGAAATAATATCTCATGCATTATTGCCTATAGGGCAATTGACAGAAGAGGCCCAAGAGGCAAGAAACAAAGATTTTAAAAAGTTTAGAGAACACCATTCTCGGAAATGCAGTAGAACAAAATCAAATACTGACATTTTTAATTTTTTTTTGTTGTCATCAGATCCCGTAATAAATAGTAAAAGAAAGCTTCCACAAAAAAAATTGTCTTCACTTCCCAAAGAAGCTGTAGACTTATTATTACCACCATCAAACCACGATATTAACAATGACCACGAATATGACAGTGAAGACGATGATGATCTTGATGATGACCATGACGATGATAGTGATGACAATGTTGATGAAGACTATGAAAATGTAGATGATACAGAAGATAATGATGATTGAAATGTTAAAATGTATAGATAACTTAATTCCCTATTGTTTGTTAATTTACACATATTTTATATTTATCCACTGAATAATAAATTTACTTTTAATATTGTATAATAATCTTTATAATTATGAAACATTTAATAAAATACTAATATTTTAACTCCATAACATTTATTTAAACTTCTGGGAGTTTTCTACATATTTTCATAATCTTGCCCCACTGTGCAGCGTAGACAAAAATATAACAATCGGCTTATCGGCCGGTCGGCACAGCTCGCGACCAGCACACAAAATTTATAATTTAATTTTATTATATAACAGTAATAATAATAATACAATTTATAATAGTAATAATAATAATAATAATAAATCACCACATAATAAATAATAGTAATGGAAAATAAAATCAAATTAATGAATTATCTGTTCGTTGATCTGCTTATTTAATAATGTTGTGTAATACATGCAATGAAGACATATTCGAAGACGATTTTATAAAGTGTTCAATATGCAATGATCACTTCCACTTTATGTGTGTCGCTCTCAGAGAAGCGACTTTTCGTAAAATGTCTAAGGCAACCAAATCTAACTGGGCTTGTAATAAATGCAAGTTCAGTGTTAAGGTCTCTTCACCGGCAATTACCTCTGTTCCCAGCACAACCAATGAAAACTACAATAATCTAACTGACTCAGTTAGCTTTTTGAGTGAGAAGTTTGACGACTTTGGTAAACAATTAAAAGAATTACTACACACAGTCAAAGAAATGAGAGAAGAAAACCGACTACTAAAAGAGCAGAATGTTAGGCTCAACAATGATGTTAAATCACTGGTAAACCGTGTTAATACATTAGAGCAAAAGGCATTCGATAATTTTATTGAAATTATTGGTGTCCCTGAAATCAAGGATGAAAACTGCAGATACGACTAAAACAATCTTAGCCAAACTAGAAGTCAATTCAACGGTTAGTAAGGCGTTTCGTTTCCATCCAAAATCTTGAGCAAACCCAGGAAATTAGTGGCTGAGCTGAGCACTTCTCAGTGCAGTAGTAGTGCAATATTCAATTCAAGAAAACAAAAACCGACGGGTAATATGTTTAGCGAAAACTGGGGGACGGGTCCAATATACGTAAATAATTATCTTACATTCTTTAATAGAAATCTCCTATTTAAGGCTTTTGCTAGAGAAGCTAGCTTCAAATTTGTATGGTTCAAAGACTCAAAAATATTTATTAAAAAAAGTGAAAACCACAAAGCAATCTTAATCGAAAACGAATCTTCCTTAACTAACTTAACTCCATAGTAATTTAATTAATTAACTCCAATCTATAAAAAAAAAAAAAAAATTAATCTGTTATGTTCAACTATGTTATTGATACTCTTAAATATAGAACGAATTATTTTGAGTCTTTTTCTGAATATGGTTCATGTGTAAATAATAAAAATATATCTATTTTAAATATTATATGTTTAAATATAAGAAGTGTGAATGCTCATTTTGACGAGCTACTTTTATTTTTGGAAAATGATGTTAACAGTAAAAAAATCGACGTAATAGTTTTAACTGAAACGTGGCATGACTCTTTGTCTTGTCACTTCAACATACCTGGTTTCAATATACTGTTTTCGAGTTCAAAAAGAAACCAAAATGATGGTATATTACTTTTTGTTAAATATCATCTTAATGCGGACTTTTATGACTTTAATCTGTTAGAATATAACATTGTTAAACTAACCTTGAAAATCAATAATTGTTCGATAATTTTACTATGTATATATAGATCCCTTTCTTCTGACTGTGTGGGCTTCATCAATTCATTAAAATACGTCTTCAATAGTATTGACTTAAATTTAGGCTTAATTGCCGTAATTGGGGACATGAACATTAACATAATTGGCGCAGAAACAGTTAATAATTATGATTATTTAGACTTGTTATCGGAATATGGCTTCTGTCCATATATCAATGTTAATACAAGATTACCTGTGGGTCAAAATCACAGTTGCACACCTAGCAATATCAACGCAGGTGTTTTACTAACGGATATTACCGACCATTGCTCAACTGTTATCTCTATCCCTGTTCCAGTGAAACCTAAAAGTGTTAATAATATTATCAATGTCATTAATTATGATAATCTTAAACTTATTTTGTGTAATGAAAAATGGTCTAACGTCTATGGCTCTAACTCTGCAAACGACTGTTTCACTGAGTTTCTGAAAATAATTACCAATGCCGTTATTAAATCCTCAACAACTAAGAATTTAAATTCAAAAAACAAAAGATTAAAAGAATGGATGTCTAAAGGCCTGTTATGTCCAGTACGTCACAAATAATACCTTTCGATGAAATGCAAAAAAACCCTAATAACGCCAAACTTATATTACATTATAAAAAATATAAAACACATTTACTAAACTTCTGAGACTCGCCAAGATTAAATTTTATGAAAACAAATTAAGAGATGTTGCATCCAGTCCTAAATTAACATGGAATTTGATTAACGAGATCTCTGGTGATAATACTAAGAATAAAGATACAATTAAATCTATACTAGTGAACAATAATCTATTAAATATAGATGATAATCCCAAAGAAGCGGCAAATGAGTTTATTAATTATTTTACTAACGTTGGCGTAAATTTGGCTAAAAAATTTATGAAAAATCCTGATCTAGTTTTTAATTTGCGCAATGATAACATTTTATATTCTTTTGATAAGTTTTTCCTAGATAAAGTTGATGTGTCTGAGCTAAGCTTAATTATTCTTAAGTATAAAGATGATACTGCGGCCGGTTATGATAAGGTTACAGTTAAAATTTTAAAAAATATTTCTGAATTTATTGTTTCTCCGCTTGTATATATTTATAACCTGTGTATACAGACTAGTACTTTTCCGGATGACTTTAAAATTGCAATCATTAAGCCTTTATTCAAGGGTGGTGACCGCAAAATCTTAAGTAACTATAGACCGATATCTATGTTAACCAATTTTTTCAAAAATATTTGAAAAAATAATAAAGACTAGGCTAATTTCCTATCTTGAAAATAACAACCTGCTTTCCAAAAACCAATTTGGATTTCGTCCAGGTTAAGCACAGAAAATGCCTTGTATAATGTATCTCAATTTTTATACGATTCTCTAGATAATGGTTTGAAAGCGATTGCTGTTTTCATAGACTTCACGAAGGCCTTTGATACTATTCAACACGATACTCTATTACGTATTCTACCTAACTTCGGTATAAGTAACAAAAGTCTTCTCTGGTTTAAGAGCTACCTATCGAATAGACAACAAATAGTGAAACTAAATGATGTTAACAGCAATGCTAGTTTTATTAAATATGGTGTGCCTTAGGGTAGTGTATTAGGCCCCCTACTGTTTTTATTATATGTTAATGCAGTTTGTGATTTAAATATTGATGGTAAATTGGTTTCCTATGCTGACGATACATGTTTGTTATTTTCGGGTAAATCTTGGGAGGAGGTTCACCTCAAAGCCTCGGAGGGACTAAATTTAACATACAAGAGCATATGCGAACTGGGCTTAACGATGAATCTGGAGAAAACTACATTTATGAAGTTTTCAATAAATAAGTTTATCTACCAAGATTTTCCTTTAGTAATTCATCACTACAAAGATAAATTGAACTGCAACATGTTAAATTATTTAGCCATTAAACAAATATCAAAAATTCGTTATTTAGGTATCATTTTTGATGATAATTTAAGGTGGAACTTACATATTAAAAACCTAGTAGGCAAACTCAGATATTCATTATATAAATTCATTAAACTTAAAGGTATATTTCCTTTAAATATTTTACGTACCATTTATTTTGCATTGTATCAATCTACTTTTCAGTATGGCCTGTTAGTTTGGGGAGGTGTTAAAGGTAACTATTTAAAATGTCTTCAATCGAATCAAAATAATGTACTAAGAATAATTCAAAATAAAAAATCTTTAGAAGGTTCATCAAAAATAAACTACTCAAATTTAGGAGTTCTTCCGATAAATTACTTATACAAAAAATTTGCAATATTATTTACTATAAAAAAATATATTAACCCCTTAAATAACACAGATTTTTCTCAAAGAAGAGAACATAGAGCTTATAATCTACCAGTAAAGTACACGAAAAAAGCCTTTGGGCAATCGTTTATAGATTATTTAGGTCCAACCTATTTCAACCAAATGTCAACTATAACCAAAAAAAATATTCATGATGCTTTAGTCAATGGGAAAAATAAAGTTTATAAGTGGCTTTTCTCTGATTTGTCTACTCATTTAGTATAATTGTCCATATTTTGCTGATTTTATAGTTTTATTGTTGTTAATTTAAGTTTTTTATTTTATTTTATTTTTTATTTTTAGTTTAAATACTACCTAGAGTTTTAATTTATAAAATTAAATATTATATTTCCGGTTGAGACTTAGAAATGGACATTAGTTTATTTCCTCGTCCATTTTATTTTATATGTATTAATTTATGTTTCTTTTTTGTTTTTTCATTCTTTGTAATATCACTTCTTTGAATTGTTTCGATTTTCTGTTTTTGAAAGAAAGCTGTGTCTCTCATTCATTGTTAGATAATAAGTTGTTTCTTGTAATTTACTATTTACATTTTAAGATTTATATTATTCATATGTCAACTCTCTACTCCGTCTCAAGCCTTGGCTTAAAGGAGTAGATATATTTCTTTGTATATTATATAAAGAAAATTTTTTTAAATAAAAAAATAAAAAAAATCTATGCCAAAAACTATAAAAAAAAACGATAGATGCTATAATGTAAAAAACGAACTTGGTCCATATAAAATCAAGACTTAAATTTACAAACATGAACAAAATAAAGCGGAATCGTTTCGCAAATCATGTGTAATATTCAGCAGGTGCGTAGCCAGGGGGGTGTTACAGGTGTAATAACACCCCCCCCCCCCTCAACCGTGGTGTACTATGTTTTATAATTTAAACTGGGACACGAGCACGAGGCATTAATTATTATTTTAGACCATTCTGTGTCGGTTTATCGTTGACTCGTTTCATGTACGATACAAGATATCTTTTAATGCAGAGTATTTACAACTTGTTTACAACTTCATCATTAGAGAGTGTTACTCTATGGTATCCAGATACGTATTTAGGGGGGGGAGAGGGGTATCATCGCCCCGGGCGGCAAATTTTTTTGGTATTAAGGGGCTACAGCATTTTTTCGTAACCAATAACCATAACCTATCATCCATTTTTTTCATTCGTCAATTAATAAAAAAAAAATAATAATTTAAGATTTTGGATAGCGGCTACACTGCGATTTTATTTTTCATGATAATATTATCATAAGTTGACCGCGTAAAATCCATAGATAATGATTATTAATTATATAATTAATTATCTTCATCAATCTGTAAATCGCATGTTCGTATGTTTCATACTTTCGTGTAAATGTGTAATTATGTGAATAATGAATATTGTGAATGAAAAATGATTTTATATTTTCATAAACATTACCAAGTAAGTTAATTTTTTATTTCATAAATCTTAATAATGGCTTAATTACTTTGCACTTTTATTAACTTTTTTTTTGTCTATAAATGACATAAATATAAATGTACCTAACTTAAGATGCATATTTTAATATCATTCCTAAACCTTATTTTCAGTTTTGTTATGGTCTATCGCTTATAGCTGCTGCTTGCCTGCTTATTGTTTTTTATTGTTTTGAAGTTTGCCGTTTGGTTAAATTGGTTATTTTAATTTGATGATTTTTTTGATGTTATAAATACAAATCTATAAATATGACTGGCCATAGAATTAAACTGAGTGGTGCAGCTTCCAGAAAATTAGCGTTAGAAAAGAAATTAAAAAATGCCCTTGTTCTTTCTCAGGTTCCTAAATTAGAAAGTTATTTTATGACAAAGAAAACTGAAGATTTGACATGTATGTATAAAATGTTAAATGTTTGTAAGCTCATAGTAAAATATCCATTAGTTATTTTTATTTGATTTAAACAGTAATATTTAGATATATAAATAAAAATGAACTTTATAATTTTGTATTTGATTTTTTCTCCTCTTTATTTAGCAGATTCAACAAATGATAAGTTAGAGAATGACGTTGAGAATGATACTGAGAATAATGTGTTTGGCATATGTAAAACTAGTACTGAGAATAGTATTGAACGTGTAGATAAATTTAGTGAATGCTTTAGGTAATACATTTTAAGAAATACTTAATTGTTTATGCATTATGCTAAATTCATATTATTACTCTTCAGTCTTTTTTGTGTTTATTGTTCTATTAATTATTTGTAAATTTATTTCTAAAGAATTGAAAATAATGATGTATTACAAGACAGTGATTCAACAAATCATGATAATTGTTGTTCTGACCAATTAAAACAGCCAGGTCCATTAGAAGACAGTGAAAATATTAAATCTCAACCAAATGTTCTTCCTGGGTAAGATGCATACTATTGAAATGTTTTAAATTTTTATCTTTTCTTATGGTTTCTCTTGTTTAGTGAATTACATTACATATATTATTAATTATTATATTTACTAAGCAAAATTACAAATTATTTAACTTAATAAAAAAAAAATATTATTATTATGATCAATGAATACCTAACTATGATTGTAATATAGTTTATGATATCTATATAATATGAAAGGTAATATATAAATATAATGTGATATCTACCTAATCTAATATCTTACCTCTATATTTACCATTTTGTAATATTAATCATCCATTACAAATTCATCATATATTCATTATATATTTTAATATAAAATATATATAATATCTAAATTAAATTTTACATAATTTTAATATTTCTTTGTATCTGTTGTAGGTACCTAAAAGTTATGATCACAAATTTATTACCTATATAACAATCTAATATATTACATATAACATATTATATCATTCATATTTTTACTTTTTCTAAATTCATATTATTAGTTTATTACTCTTCAGTCTTTTTTGTGTTTATTGTTCTATTAATTATTTGTAAATGTATTTTTAAAGAATTGAAAATAATGATGTATTACAAGAAAGTGATTCAACAAATCATGATAATTGTTGTTCTGGCCAATTAAAACAGTCAGGTCCATTAGAAGATAGTGAAAATATTAAATCTCAACCAAATGTTCTTCCTATTGAAATGTTTTAAATTTTTATCTTTTATGATGGGGAAAAAAAATCAAATATTATTTGAATATTAAAATTGAAACTTTTTAATTAGACTATCATTTTCGTGTAATTGTTGTTTATTTTATTTATAATTTTAAATAAAAAATGTAGACATAATACCTATGATAGAAATTAAAGTCTGAAAATTTCATGAAATATTTCAGAGATGATCCAGCATTGTGGATCATAAATGATACTACACGAGATTATATATCATTACATGGTTTTAATCAAAACATCGATGGGAACAACTTTTTAAAGTCAAAAAGATTATGCTCTAAAATTGTGAGAGGTACAAGAAAATCGTATTACAGGCATTTACCACCAAGCTTATTTCAAACAAAATTTGTAAATGGACAAATTTTAAAAAGAAAATATCTAGCATATTCAAACAGTACAGGATGTTTGTATTGTGTACCTTGTATATTATTTGAAGGAAAATCTAGTTTTGCTTCTACTACTGGGTTTTGTAATTGGAAGAAAGGAGAGGAAAAATTATCTATGCATGAAAATTAAAAAACTCACAAAAACTGTGTTTTAACCATGAAGAAAAGAGGTGATTTACATCAAAGAATAGATAAAAAAAATTGTGTTACAGTTAGAAAATGACGTTAAATATTGGAAAGATGTTTTGCACAGAGTAACTGCAGTAGTAAAATCATTGTGTTCAAGAGAGATCTCTTAGAGGAAGTGATGATAACTTTGGGAATTCTCATAGTGGAAATTTTATCATGTGCTTAGAGCTTGTTGCAGAATTCGACCCATTTTTAGCTAGTCATATAAAAAAGTATGGAAATAAAGGAAAAGGAAGTACGTCATACTTGTCACTTAATACTTTTGAAGAGTTTGTTAACCTTATGGGACAAAAATTACGTGAAACAATAATTAAAGAAATTAAAAAAGCTAAATATTTCTCAATTGTTGTGGATTCGACACCAGACGTATCTCATACAGATCAACTTTCCTTTATTTTTCGATATGTTATTCACAACGGTGAACCAGTAGAGCGATTTTTACATTTTCTTCCGAATACTGGACATAAATCTGAAGACTTAGCTAAAGTAGTATTTAACGTTCTTGAATCGAATAATTTGGATATTCAAAATTGCCGAGGCCAGTCTTATGACAACGCGTCCAATATGTCTGGGAAATATACAGGCCTTCAAGCTCGAATGAAACAAGTTTGCCCTCATGCTGTATATGTTCCATGTTCAGCACATTCTTTAAACTTGGTTGGAGAATGTGCTGCTAATTGTTGTTTTTTGGCTGAAGACTTTTTTAATTTAATTCAAAATCTATATGTGTTTTTTTCTTCATCTACATATCGATGGCAAATTTTATCAAAGCAGTTACAGGGCAATGTAACTATAAAAATGCTATCGGGTACACGTTGGTCAGCACGTCATGATGCATGTTTTAGCCTTTCTTATAACTGGAAAGAAATAATCAAAGCACTAGAAGAATTTGAAAATGATAAATTGGAAAAACCACAAACAAGATGCAAAGCCAGGGGTTTGTTAAGAAAACTACAAAGTCTGGAAATGGGAATAATGGTCTCCGTTTGGAGCGATGTACTTGAACGATTTAATGTAACTAGTAAGAAACTTCAAGAAGTAAAAATTGATTTGAAAACTGTTTTATCGTTATATAACTCCTTAATCAAGTACTCAGAAGAATTAAGAAATAATTTTGATTTGTATGAGAAAAAAGGATTTGAAAAATGTGGAATTAAAGAGTATAAAGACATATCGAGTAGAAAAAAAAAAAAGAAAATTGGCTTTTGGAGAAACTCGAGACGCTGAAGCAAAATTAACTCCAAGAGACAAATTGAGAAGTCAAATATATATATCAATCATGGATTCTCTTATTTTTTAATTGAATAAAAGGATGAGCACTTATGAAGAGATTAATAAAAAATTTTCTTTTTTTTTTCGGCTTCAAATGTTAAGTATCACAGAAGTTCGAAAACAAGGAGATTATTTGAGGAAGTGTTATCCTAACGATTTACCTGTTACATTTCCAAATGAATGTGTTCATTTTAGAAGCTATTTACTAACAAAGTCAAATAAAGAATATATACCTAAAACTGCTTTAGAAATGTGTAAAATGATACATGATGATGACATTCAATATATTTATCCTTACGTCAACATAGCACTCAGAATGTTCTTATGTTGTCCAGCATCTAATTGTTCATCAGAGAGATCCTTTAGTGCTCTAAAGAGAGTTAAAACATATCTGAGGTCTAGGATGACTGATGATCGGCTCAATAACTTGGTGATACTTCATATAGAGTCAGAAATAACAACTCAAATACAATATGATGAAATTATACAAGATTTCAGTGAGAAAAATCGAGGCGTAAATTATAATGTTAATATGTTATAAAATTATGTTATTTGTATACAATGTATGGTCAGATTGTCAATAAAATTTTTTAAATAAGTATTCACACTTTTTTTTTTGAGAGGGAGGGGGTATGTAGGGGTGCCTATAAAATGTTACCTGGGGCGTCAAAACTGTAAATACGTCTCTGATGGTATCAACTATCAACCGATCTATTTTAATGTTATCACACT